CGGCTCGTCATTCTTGCCATCTTTCATACTTCACTTGTTGACTAGCTTTTCAGCAAGCATAACAGTTTCGCTTGCGGAGTTCAATTTTCTTTAATTGTTGACACTTAGCACAAACTTTTAAACTTTGGCTGATTAAAGTGGCCGGATTAGTGGGTAAGTAATCAATAGTTAAGTCTAAATTATGTTCACTAATTAACTTGCGTGCCATTCATAAATAATAAGGTCAAGCAATTTTACTTCTTTGACTGTAATAAAATTCTCGTTCTAGTTGGTAGCCAGTGGCGATAGGACGTTGCCGGAGTTTAATAAACCTTCTTCAGCAATCATAATTGTCAGTTCATAAAGTAGCGTGCGGGATTTTCTTTTCCACCAGTCAGTAAGTTGCCGCTAAAATCGCATAGGCTTTAGCTTCTAGCGGACGAATAACTTGTTGGTTGTTAAAGCGAGCTAAGATTTGGTCCTCGACCACGAGAATTGCACTTCAAGTTTTTTTATTCAGTAAACTAGCACTGAGGTAGAGATTTTTTGGTTCGACTGACTGGACTAACTGCTGAACTTTTTTAGTAGTTGTTTTTTTAGTCATTTTCTGCTTCTTTTTTGGTTTCTCAGTCATCTAACAGAGGGCAAATACCGATTTCTAAAACTATTGGTTCACCCCAGTCATCCAGTTTTTTATCTTTTTGGTCTTCTAATAAGGCTAGGGCTTCTTGGAGATTGGCTTTTAAATCATAAAGGGCTTCACTGTTTCAGGTTTCGGAGTCATCGGAGTTAATGATGTGAGCTTCTTCAATTTTGTCTAATAATTTGCTTAATTTGGCTAATTTTTTGGCAATTTGGTTTGCTAATTTTTTGGACATAGTTTTTAAAATTCTTGCTTTTGATAGTCAATTAGGTGCGGTTGAGCTTGCGGACAAACATATTGCTCGGCGGGGTCTTCACGAGCTCGCTGGCAACCTCAACAGCCATTTTTATAGATTTGCTGGGACATGATTTAAATAATTCCTATTGCTTGCACTTTAAAAAAAGTGCCTTGATTATTTTGATTGGGCAGTTCTTGGTAAGTGAGGAGAACTTGGCGATTGATGAAGTTGTGGGGGCGTTAGTTAAAGTGGTTAAAGTTTCTTCATTTAAACTGAAACTAAAGGCGTAAAAATAACGCTGAGGTAAGTTGGCTAAACTGAGCCGGAAGTAAGGATTGTTGTTTTTATCCATGCGGGATTCGATGTCAATGATGGTGGCTTTAATTTGGAGTTCTTGGGGCATGATTTTATAATTCGATAGATACTTGGGGTTTTGGTCGTTGGCAGTGCTGGCAAGCTTGACCGGTGATGATTCTGGTTTTTCACTGAAAAAGGATGATTTCTTTAATCGGTTTCAACTTTTTACACTGGGGACATTTGATTTTAAACAGTCGCAACAAAAAGATAGCGAGGAGTAAACCTCCCAAAGTGATTCCAAAAAAGAGAGTGAGTAAAATAGTAGTTAGCATAGATTTTGTTTAATTTACCCTTAGCTTGCCAATCTCGGCGGGAGCACCAAGCCAGTGCTAAGGGAATGAGAGAACGCGAAATTATTTTCGCTCTAGCTTGGCTCAATTGTTTCCATCAGCAACATGGACTATTACTGACAGTTAGTGTCTCTAACTTAGATTGGGGTTCTCTGTTCGATTTTTTTGTGGAGTTTATGCATAGTAGTAGTTCATATTTCAGTTGTCGAGATATTGATTGCGAGCCCGGATTTCACAGCCGCAGAGACCGTCTAGTTGCTGAGTGGTTTGGTGCTGGTGGTCGTGGCTGACTGGATAAGAATAGAAGTCTTGGCTTTCTTCCATGTCGAATTCAGTGGCATAGTCATCTAGTTTAGCAATGAATTGTCTGACTACTGGTGCTTGCACTGGCTCAAAAGTAAAACGGAGAACCGGTTTGGTGGTGAAGTGGGTGTAAATAGTGTCGCTACACTGTCCGGCTTCCTTGGGAACTTTTTCCTGCTCAAGTGGTAAGTGGACAAATTCCGCGGATTTACATAAGAGTAGTAAACGAGTTATTAAAAATTCCTGAAAATCCGGCTGAACAGCAGGTTTTTTGGGTTTTTTAAACTGATAAGCCTCTTTTTTAGTGGCTCTGCTGGCTAAATTTAGCAGGGATAGGGGGTTTAAAGAGCGAGTTCCTAAGCGAAAATGCTTTTTATCTGAAAAAGGCTTTCTAGCTTGCCCAACTAATTGCTCGTTAGCACGGTAGAAGTAAGTAGTGGCTTGGGTTTGATAGTTGTAATGGCGAAATACTCTTTGATTTCTAGGTAAATGTTGTCCGGTTGCGGCATCCAGTTTGTGCTTGCCGATTAATAAAGTTGGGTGAGTTTCATAGTCATAAAGATTTTTAAAAAAGTGATAGGCTTTATTATTTTTCTGAAAACCATGTTCCTGATAAAGACTTCTCAAATGAAAAGATTTAGCTAAGTATTTCGCTAAATAGTTGCTAATAGTTTTATAACTAGGTGAGCGGCTTTCTACGCGACCATAAGGCCATAATTGAGAAATGTAGGCACGGCAGTTTCAGCAGGAGGTGAAGTTTTTGTCGAGGGTGCATTTATGAGAATAGGGGACAATGGGTGTGCTGAGTAAATGAAAATGTCAAGTGGCGGGTCGGTTATTTTTTGGTTTTTGTAATTCCGCTACTACCGTTCATTTTCACTGGCTCGGTTTTCATTTGAGACGAATTTGCCGTAAGAATTTAGCAAGGTATTGATTAGCTAAAATAAAATTGCTAGCATGTTCTTGGGAAGTTTTTTGAATATGAATTTTTAATGGCTCAGCTGGAGAGTCAAAATTAACTGCTCAATCTTTAAGTCAGTTATTTTTGTGAGCAATTGGTTCTCAAACTGGGTCATTGCTATCTCAATTAGTAGTAAAAGCGGAATAATTGTCATGGGTAGTGTTAAAAGTGAGGGTTAAGAATAAGACTGGCTGCTGACCTTCGGTTCCCTCGAAATTTTCTTCAACTTTATCTTTAAATCTAGTGTAGAGTTTTTTTTCTTTACTATTAAAGAATTGAAAGTAAGTGCAATTCTGGGCATCTTGTAAGCAATCATCTTTTGGTTTAGATAAATTGGAAATAGGCTGTTGCTGAGCTATTTTGGGTTTATCTAAGTAAAAAGATTGAGTACTGTTTTTAGATAAGGTAACACTAATACGGTTAGTGCTTTGGATATGTTTAGTGGAGACCGACAGGACACTAAAAGAAGTGTGGTCTTGGGTTAAAAAGGCTTTTAAGTCAGAACGGTTGACTTGCTTGATTTGAGCCAGGTCATTCAATAGTTTTTGAGGACTTTTTGATATTGAATTAAAACCTGTAGTTATGTTGCCATTAGAATATATAATTTTTCTAATTTAGTTAAAAATTGTAAAGCTTCTAAACTACCAGTAAAATGATTATAAATAACTCGCTTTGTTGTTTTTGGTTCTAAATTATTAATTTCTAATGTTTTTAAATTAATAAACCGACTAAAAGCTGTTAAACCATTAGTGGATAAGCTATTGTTGCCAACAGTTAATACTTCTAATTTATCAGGATTAAATTGACTAAGAAAATCCAAATTAGTTAAATAATTGCCATAACAATTCAGAAAAGAAAGTTTAGGGAAAGGAAAAGAGTTTGATTTTGTTAAGTGATTCAATTTAGAATGTTTATTTACCGTTATTTTAGTTAAATTATTGTTAGAAAAATATAATTCCTCCAAATTAATAAAACCACTAAAATTATTCAAGTCAAAAATTCCAGTTAAATTCGCATTTGAAAGATTCAAAGTAGTTATTTCTTTTCTCCTTTTACCATAGTCTTCATGACAAACAGTAACAATAATGTCATAATAATTCTCTCTTACTTGTTTTGTTCTTCGACAAGTTCCATTTTTCGGATAATTTTCATCTAATCATGCTTGGGCATTTCCTTCTTTTTTAATTGTTTTTTTACGAATACCTAGGCAAAATAATTTAGTTGCTGTTTTTTTTGATTTTTTTACCATTATGACTTAATTTTAGTATTTAAGATAAAATCTAAAAAATAGATGGATAAATAGAAAAACCACCCATTAAGGAGAATTTGATTCTGAATAAAAGTTGTTAGTCTATTATTTTCCTTAATGGGCAGTAGTTATTTACTCTATAATTGGTGAAGCAGAAACCAAAAATTAGCCAGATTACAAGACCAATTAGAGCAAAAGGAGCAGAGAGATAGTTCTTTTTTAATAATTAAGTAAGTTATAGAAATTACTCTAAACAATATAGATAGATATATATCGTTATATTTCTATATCAAACATATTAAAAACTAAAATATAATATATTATGACTGAGCTATTAATCATCAAAACTGAAAATAGTGAAAAAGTACGCAACTTCCTCAACAAGGAGAAAATTAATTACGAAGTTTTTGCTGAGGAGAATAGTGATAAAGAGGATAAACTACTCCAAGAATATCGCGAAGCCTGACAAAATCCGCAAAGATTAGCCGAAGCAAAGCAGTGAGAACAAGCCTCCATGACTGATTGAGCTGAACGAGCCAAAAAAAGCAAAAAATAGATGGCAGAGCGAGTATTGAAAAGAGGAGAAATCTATTGAGTGAATTTGCCGGACAAAGGCGGACATGAACTAAAAGACCCCCATATGGGAGTGATAATTTCTAATAATCGCCAAAATCAAGCTAGTCCCTTGATAATTATTCTCCCGCTAACTTCCTGAAAAAAAGGAGATAAAATTTATTCTTTTGAAGTGGAAACTTTTATTAATAATCAATCGGGTAAAGTCTTAATCGACCAAATTACTACTACTGATAAGGTAAAAAGAGTTGGCAAGTTTGTCGGACAAGTGGACGAAAAAATGATGGTGAAAATTGAACGGTCCATTTGTTAGGAAGAACTGGAAACTAGAAAGAAAAAATTAATTGGTTAGTATGACAATAATCGCATTTATTTCACAAAAAGGAGGGGTAGGAAAAAGCACCCTGGCCCGAGCATTAGCGGTGGAAGCCAGCAAACAAAAAATACAGGTTTTATTAGCCGATTGCGACCCTCAGCAGGCTACCAGTTATCAATGATTACAAGTTCGGCAAAAAAGTAAGTTTAAGGTGGAAATTTTCCCTACCGCCCAACAAGCATTAAGAGAAGCACCTAAATATGACTTGACGATAATTGATGGACCCGCAAGAACTAGCCATGCCACCTTGGAAATCGCTCAAAAGGCGGATTTGGTAATTCAGCCGACAGGTGCTAGCCGAGATGATTTGATTCCGGCCGTAAAGGAATTCAACGCACTAACCAAGGCCGGAGTAAGTAAAAAGAAATTATTATTTGTGCTTACTCGCTTGTCTACTCCTGCCGAAGCCAAAGCGGTTCAGGAATATTTAACCACTACGTGTTATGCTTGCTCGCCTTTTTTTGTCCTAGAAAAAGCCTCTTATAAGCAAACTCAAAATGAGGGAAAGAGCATTACTGAAACTAAATATCTCGGATTAGCTCAGCAAGCAAAAGAATTAGTTAGTAGTCTATTAGATTACTTAGACTAAAATACTTATATATAACTATATGTTGTTATATTGTTATAATTATTAATATGAATAAGTGAGATAAAATTAAAAAAAAAGATAGCAAGTCGTTGGGAGAAGCACCGCAAGAGGCCAGTCAAAATATTCAAGCCCCCGAATTAGCTCCCAAGGATAACCGCTTTACTGGTCGCACTAAGCGCATTGCTTTTACTTGCCGTCCAGAATTTGCCGAGGAATTAAGAAAAATGGCTTTTGAAGGGAATTGTTATCAGATTGAAATATTATAAAAAAAATTTACTTGCTGATTCTGAAAGTAAAAATAAGGAAGTAAAACCCAAGCAAAATAATAATGTTAGCCAAAAAATAAGTAAAATTCCAGTAAATAATTATCAAGAGAAGGAATTGCCCGATTTATGTTCTTTTTTTTTGAGCGATAAGAAAACAAAGCAAATAATTACTTGTGATAAGCCCCTTTTTAATTGAAAAAAGCGGTTATGTCGTTCTCATAATCACCAAGTCCGGAAAAGATTTAATGAATTTACCAAAGATATGTCAATTAGCAGCACCGCGGCTTGGGAAATGTCTTGGGAACAGTCCGGAGATTGACGTTATTTTTGGAATTTGGTTGACAAAGATGGAAAAAAATAATGAGTGATTATCGGCAAGAGGAATGGGAGAAAGCAGCCACAACAGAAAAAAATGCTTTGATTCTGGTAATTTACTAAATAAAGCGAATTAACCACTCCGCAAAAGGCACATTTTCCTATTTGCTTTTGTGGCAATAGAAGCAATTAGTTAAATTTCGCACTAGCTATTTATTTAGTTTCGTGGATGGCAACTGAATAATTTGGGCTTGGGTTATTTCTGCTTCTTTCTGAATTAAGGATTTTAAGTGCTGATTTTCAGACTTTAAATTAGCATTTTCTGTCTTAATTTGGGCTAATTGTTTTTCTAGGTTTTTAATTTTGGCTAATAAAATAAGTTCAGTTTCGGTTGCTTTCTCCTTTTGGTTAGGGATTAATGTTAGTTGTTGATTAGTTTTTTTATTGGCATTAGCTAGGGAAATTTTCTCCTGCTGAGATTGTGGCGAAATTTGACTAACTAATTCTGAGCTTTTTTTGCTAAGATTTGGAGCCGATAAGTAATTATTCTGCTGAGTAGGTTTTTTGTGTAAACTACTGGTTCATTTGTTATAAAAACAGATTTGGGAGTTGCCAACACTTCCGGAAAGGTGCCAACCTTCGGCGGAGCAAAATTTTCCATTCTTGGTGGTTTGGATGGATTTTTCTTTTTGGTTCTTTTTCTTTAAAAGAGGTAGAGATATCTAATAAATGAAGTTAGCACCTCAGTTATTAGTAAGAATTAGGGAGTTTTGAGGCTCCCTATTCTAACTGATTATCACCTACTTTCTAAGCAATACTAAACTACATAATCTTACAAGGAGAAGGAGGTCTTTTATATTCAACATTAGAAGCAGTTTGTAATGGTTTGGGGGTTATTACTATATTTGGCTAAAAAAGGGATTAGTTTAACCGAGTTATTTATTTGATTGGTGTTTTTTTTTGTATGGTGGAAATTCTTGGCAAATGTCGTGCTTATTAGGGATATTGCGTGTTTTGTTTCGTAAATCGCTTACGCATTCTTTCAGGGAAAGTTGGAGAAGATTTTAGAATCTTTGAGAAAGAAATTCAGAGAGAGTTTTTTTTATAAATAAGGGTA